TTCCCACTTATTATTATATGATCTTATCTCCATTTATCTCTCTCTCTCTCTCTCTCTTTCTCTCTCTCTCTGTTTTCCTCCTCTGTTATCCTTTCTTTTCTCTCTTTCTCTCCATTTTTAGCATTATACTAAGATAGCTTCAAGCCTTCAACTCTGTCATGTCACCACTCAAGCCTGAGGAACCTGAAGACTGAAGTTCCTTCAACCTAGTATGTGTTCTCAGTGTTCTGCTCTTCTTTTACTTTAGTGTTAAATCTGTGGCTATCTTTATCTTAGTTTCTGCTCTTTTCTTTGCTTTAAACTGGATTTTTTGTACAGATTATTTTCTGTTTAGTGTTTCTGAATTTTAGTTCTTTTGAATCTTGTGTGGACTGCTTTTTGGGGTTTTATTTTTCTTTAAATTTTTTTTTTGTTATTTTTTTAATTTGGGTTATCTGATTGTTGGTTTATATAATCTGGTTTGATTATTAGGGATAAGATCTCTCCAGAATACCATAAATTCTGGGTTTGAAGAGAAAAGTTTCAGGTACTGTTGGGTAAGCTTATTGTGATGCTGATTTATGACTATGGAATGAATTGTTGTGTGTTAATATTTCATATTTAGCTTGAAAGTTAATAGCAGATTATTAACTTACATAAGTAGAAAGGTTAAGACTTTAAAATCTATAACATTTGTAAAAACAGTAAATTATATAGTTAATAAATTTATCCAGTAGTAATATGAGCAAGGGTGTTTGTGGGTGGGGGAAGGTTGAGATTAACAAGAACAAGAAACAATAATAATGGCAGAAAAGTAAAGAATGCAAGATTTACATGGTTTGGTAATGTACCTATATACACGAGGAGTGAAACTATTCTTTACTTTAATAGTGAAAGTGATAGTGCTGATTCAACACCTTAGGGATACAATTAATGTATTTATAGGCATTTAATCCCTGTACAGCTTCACTCATATTCATAATCCCTATATAAGGCAAACTCAACAGGAGAAGTGAAAGGTTGTTTGGATGAACTACGGTTGGAGTGAAATTTCAATGGGATAAAGATAAATAAAGGTTCGGTGAAACCGGGAAAGTGGTGTAATTGGAGTGGTCTAATCGCACCAATCTCGCTGTGCTTTAGAAGGTGGGCTAAGTAAACTTTCCAAACGTGCTTAGTCTTGGGGCGCTATTGGCTCTTTAGCGAAGTGTATGCTGCAATGGAGCGGTGCGTTTTGTGTAGTCGTGCTACTTCAATCTTGCTTAGTCTCTGCTCTCTCGTATGAAGGCTAAGTAATCTTTCTAAACATGCTTACTATTAGGGCGCTATTGGTTGTTTAGTGAAGTATATGCTGCAATGTAGGTAGGTGTTGTATGTGGGGTGGTGCAATTAGAGCGGTCTATCTCGTCAAGCCACAACTCTCCCAAAGAGAGGCGAAGTAATCCTTCCAAGCATCAATTCCGAACATGATTTTCTTGTCTTCAACTTTGCGATATTGTGTAAGGAAAGAAATTAAAATGGTGCGAATCTGAAGAAAGTATCACTTGATTTGGGAGTCATTGTTTAAATTGTATCGTAAATCTTTTCCGGGATTGCAAACGAAGAAGGTGGCGATGGTATTGCAGATTAGGAATGTCAATTCTAAACCGGAATAATGGCCATAAATTTCATGATCTCGGGACTCCGAGGCATTTTGAAGTGAACTTCATAAAGTGAAACGAATTGAATGATCTACAATAATAGGGCTATTCTGCAACAACTTAAAATGAATGTTTGTTGTTCAATTGAGGTGCAATTATATTAAGTTCATAATTATTACTTATTTTCGCATGAGTACTAGCCTCAATTCCTCTTGGGAATGCCTGAAATGTTGTTTGGTCTTATATATCATGGTCCATAACCATGCTGTCTCGATATGTTTAGTGCAGAAAATAATCGTTTTGTTGTACATTCAGGTGAATCGACAAACAGTGAGGCGTCGTTGGGTGTATTGATAGTTACGTTCCCCTTGGTATGAATCTCCCAAATCTCAACCTTCAGTGTGAAGATGAGTCCGAGGTTACGAGCCAAGTTGCCTCAAACTTATCTGCCCAAGAAATATCCCCCGGGCCTTCGTACGAGAGCCCCAACACTTCATCCTGCCTCACTAACTCGGTAAACCCTCAGATGGGCACCGTACCCGTTACTCTCGACTTAACTCTGGGCTTCAATGCTAGTAGCGATGGGGAATTGAAGGGTACCGTGAGTGAGGCTAGCGGGGAAGTAGTCCCCCATCCCCCACAGGGGCCATTATCTCGAGTTTTCTCGTGTAATTTCTGCAGGCGTAAGTTTTACAGCTCCCAGGCGTTGGGAGGGCACCAAAACGCCCACAAGAGGGAAAGGACGCTGGCAAAGAGGGCAATGCGAATGGGAATGCTGTCGGATAGATATGCTAGCTTGGCTTCCCTGCCCCTCCACGGGTCTGCATTTCGGTCTCTAGGGGTGGAGGCCCACGCTGCTTCGATGCACCAACGAGGTGCCCAGCAGCCTACAAATAGCCCTTTCCATGGAGCCCGAGGTGGGGCGAGGTTCGAGCAGGGATACTTTGGCGTCCCGGTTTTCGTGGAGGACGATGAAGTCGAGATGTTCTGGCCAGGAAGCTTCAGACAAGTCGATGGCAACACAACGGGTTTCCATCCGGGACAAAGTTCTAACATAAATTTCGTAGCAATGCCCCCTCCCAAACAACCTAGTACAGACTCCTTGCCCTTCCCCGACCTTAATTTGAAACTGTGATGCCCTTATTTTTGCATTTCATCGATTCCTGCTCTGTTGTACAGGGAGGTAAATGATTCATATCAACCCCGGCTATCGAGTGATTTTTACCCCCACCAGATTATTACTGTCATTATTTCTCTCCTTTTTCCTTTTTTTTTTCCCCCAGAATGAATCACTTAGTTGATTCAGGATGCTGTTGTCTATACTGCTGTACAATATTGCCCAGGAACTTAGTATAAATATTTTTGGGATAAATTGTGCTTATTAAATTTCTGCCAATATGTGGGGCTGAATTAATGGAACAGGATGAAGCTATGATTTCAAGATCATTCCAAGTCAGAGGCTTGGCCTGATTGGAAGGTGAGTCTTACTTTACTAGCATGATGTTACAAGTATATTATGTACCAAGTTGTGTTCATTCAAATATTCAATTGGTTTAAGGAAAAATCGCATTTTTTGGTCGGTCAATTGTTATGTTTCTATAAATGTAGTTCATATTTTTCAATTGTTGTAAATTTAGTCCTTCGATTATTGACATAGCTGGTTGCAAATTTAATCTTTTATCTTTCCATTGTTGTAATTCTCGTACTTCAGTTGCTGGTCTAATTGCAAGTCTAGTCCTTCATTAGTTCATTTAGGGGATGTTTGGTAAATAGTTGTTAGCTGGTTGGGTTAATGGGTTTGACTAGTTGATAACATTAACTGATTGTAGAAAGATGTTTGGTAAATTAGCTGTTAGTTGATAGCTGATTACCTGCAAAATGACTTTTTTTAAAAAGTTGATCGAAAAAGCTGCTTTGAGCTGAATTTTAATGCTTTTGGAGCAATAAACTTTTACAAAAAGCTAATTAATCAAACACTCATATTGGTTGTTTAACCAAGGCAAACAGCTAATAGCAGTTAAACAATTCAAAATTGACTGATAGGTTAACTATTTTTTACCAAATAGAGTCATAAACTTTAGAGTACTAGATTTGCAACAACTGAAGTGTGAGACTTGCAATTATGTCAACAATTGAAGGATTAGATTTATAGCAATTGAAACATAAGAACTAGATTTCCAATTAGGTAAATAATTGAAAGACAAAGATTACGTTTATATCTCGAGGAGAATAATTGAGGGACTAATAAAAGTGTGATTTTCCTTTGGTTTAATTTTCATAATACATATACTATTTACTAGTTTAGGAAGCTTAGTCTGGATTAGTTTTATAGTTGTGTATATATTGGATATGGAATGAAAAAAAAAAAAAAAATGATTGAAAGGTGCAAAGATTTATGGTGGTCCACGATCTCAGTATTTGCAGCATTACCATAACTACATCTATGGTGTACAGTGAGCATCATTAAAATAATTTATTTATTTCTAGAAGAAATCATAGATTCAATTGTTTGTCCTTTAACTATAATTTTTCTTTCAATGTAGATGAATCCATTGATTTCTAATCAAACGATGTGTGAAATTATACTAAAGTTTTTTTTTTTTTTTTTAATGAAATATATATGAAATTCATTCTCATTGTTGCTGTCCAGGTTGATCACGATTATGCATGCAATAGCACAATGTATTATTTTATTTGTTGAGACTTGAGAATATTACAAGTTTCGTCATTTCAATATAACAAATATATAAATGGAAACATATCTGAAATCCTTGCAAATAAGAAACTGTGAAACTAAAACACCAAGTCATCCCAAAAACAATTAATAATGCATACTTCACAAGTTTTGAGCAAAATTAAACCAACCAAAACATTTACTCTAGCTATATATAACTAATTAATCTCAATACTCTTGCAAGGGACTCTGACTATTCATACAAGTTGAGATACTACTATATACCCCACGTCTTTGTATTCTACACTTATTAGATTAATAATACGCATTTTTTCCCTAAATCAATAACTAATTAATCTCAATTTAACTTAGAGCACATATCAAAGTGAGATACACGTACAATTAATTATTAAAAAAGTGTAGTTTTGTATATGATAAAGTTATTGATGTCCTTATTGTGTTGTCACGTTATTTAGAGTGAAATCTTAAAGTGCTTAGAGACCTAGGCCTCTACCTTTGCTTGGGCTAGAGTGTTGGATGATAGACACTACACCGGCATCACAATTATTAAGGACATACATGACTGACATATTCCATGCATCTCTATTTATTCTAGTTTAGCTCCTGTTGAATAGTTGTATATGTATGTTAGATTAGTTGTTGTAACTTCTTGCTAGCTTTTCTCTTTTGAACACTATTTATACTTGGGTTTATATCAATAAATCGCCAAGTTCATAAACTCTTCAACAATAATGACATATCTAGGAAGAGAAACACATCGTTTATCATCCAACAACTCTAGCCCAAGCAAAGGTGCAGTGGAGGCTATAGGGCCAGGTCTCTGAGCACTTTAAAATTTCGCTCTAAATGAAGTGACAACACAATAAGGATACCAACAACTTTATTATGTAAAAAACTACGGAGTAAAATTTTTTAATACTTAATTTTATGTATGTGTAGCTCACTTTTGATATGTGATCTAAGTTAAATTGGGATTAATTAGTTATAAATAGCTAAAGAGTAATGTTTTGGTTTTGCTCAAAACGTGAATTATACGTTAATTGTTTTTGGAATGACTTGGTGTTCTAGTTTCTCAGCTTCTTGTTTGCAAGGAATTCAGATATGTTTCCATTTTTTATTTGTTATATTGAAATGACGAAACATGTATTATATTACGTACTGTCAATAAATAAAATAATAAGTTCTACTAGTCTACATGTACTCCCAAATCTTACTCTATGATGTAGCGGGCACTGATAAACTACATTTTTTCATGTGGGTCCAAATACAAATGTCAAATCAAAATTTTGCAGTGAAAGTAAAAGTTAAGAGTAGAAAATGGGAGTACACGTAGTATTTTCCTAAAATAATACATTGTGCTATTGCATGCATAATTGTGATCAACCTGGACAGCAACAATGATAATAAATTCCAATGTAAAAAGTATTATTTCATATATATGTCCATAATCAGGTGCGAACTGGCCTTAACGTGCGAATCTGCGAATTATTGAAGGATTACATCGCACATACTACATGATTACACAACACTGGATTTGATTGCACGGCAAAGGTCTTCCAGGCATGTCTGAAAACCGTTGCGGTGGAATCACGTAGTAGTTGCGGTGCAATCATTCAGTACTCCCTTCGCAAGTTCGCACCTGGCCTGATTATGATGATATATATATAATGTTGTAAAAATTGACCTAGACACTAGGCGCCATTAGGCCCATATATGAGATTTCATCCCCGTCTTTTAGTTAGCGGATCCTTAGTTTTCGGCCGATTAGGCACCCGACTCAGCCAAATCAATGCCTATCTTTGTTGAGTTGGTGCCTAACTCGGTTGAGTCCACGTCCAATACTAAGCCGAGTCGCCTAACTGGGTCGAGTTTTTTTTTTGAGAGTTTAAGATGGCTACACCTTATTATTAGGTGCTAGGTACCCACTATCGGACTACCATCTAGCACCTTCTACAACTTTATATATATATATATATATATGCATGCTTGGAGGATTGAGTCGAGCACCATACACTGCAAATTGACTACTATTACTATGCAAATATAAGTTAAGACTTTGTTACTATATATATTATATATTTTTGGCATATATATATGGGCAAACTTCAGCTAATTCATTATATTGAACATTACATTTGATGATGGATAAGCAATTAGTTGATTTAGTTGCATCCCATGAATCTCATCCTTCTTCTCCTCATGTAATCATGTTCCCATTCCCACTTCCATCCCACATCCACTCCATGCTCAACTTAGCTCAAATCCTTTGCCTCTCCCATCTCAAAGTCACTCTTGTCCTCACCCTCCACGCTCGGAATAATGGCTTCTTACGCTTCTCCGATCTCGAATCCCAGTTCAGCCGCTACCCCGGCGGCATTCGCTTCCATTACATTCCCGACGGCCTCCCCGGCGACCACCCACGCGGCGTAATAGAACTGTTGGTTTCTTTAACGGCCACCGCTAAGCCACTGCTGAAAGAGATGCTGCTCATGGTCAATCTCAAGGAGGCTGCGGCGCCGCCGCCGCCGCCGCCGAGGTGCGTCGTCCTGGCCGACGGGCTGTTGAGTTTCGCGATTGAAGTGGCGGAGGAAGTTGGAGTCCCCTTTTTTTACTTTCAACCCGTGATCGCTTGCGCCATCTGGACTTCTCTTTCCCTCCCTCAACTCATCCGAGGCGGTGAGCTCCCCCTAAAAGGTCAGTTTACGTTAGTTCAACCTCTCTCTCTTCTCTTTACATCCCAAGTTTGGTAAATAACTGTTAGCTGATTAGGTCAGTGAATTTTACTAGTTAATAACATTATGACTGATTATATGCAAAATGATTTTCTCATAAAAGCTTATCAAAAAATTAAAGCTGTTTTGAGCAGGGCAGCTTTTTGAATTTTAGCATTTATTCTGAAATAATAAGCTCTTACAAAATAATAATTAATTAAACACTCATATTAGTTATTTAACCAAGTCAAACAACTAATAGTGGTCAAATAAACTAAAATTGACTGATAAGCTAATAACTATGTTACCAAATAGGGTCATTGTTTTTGCCTAGTACATTGTCCATAGTTGATATGGGTCATCACACTTGAATACTGACTGATAGTCTAGGGATGTAATACTGAAAAATATAATAATTATAAGAGAAAAATGTAATACTTTTACATTTGAATGTAAAAAAATATATATTTTTTATCAACAGTATTACATTTTTCACACAATTGATCCTGCTTTATAATTAATTACTGTTGAGATTAACAAGAACAAGAAACAATAATAATGGCAAAAAGGGTAAAGAAGACAAGATTTACGTGGTTCGACAATGTGCCTACATCCACGGGAGTGAAACAATTCTTATATTCATAGTGATGGTTATGGTGGTGACACGACCCCTTAGGGATACAACCAATATATTCATAGGCATCTAATCCCTGTACAATAGGTTTACCCGTTTCACTCCTACTCCTAGTATGAGACAAAACTCATATTCCTAATCCATATATGAGACAAACTCAATAATCTCTACCTTGGCGAATATGTTCTTTAGGAGAAAAGATAACTCAACAAATCTCCACCTTGACGAATATGCTCTTTAGGAGAAAAGACTTATCTCACCATCTCCACCTTCACAAAAACCAACCGATAAGGGGACATCCCAATCGGAGTTTTGTAAGCTGTCCGATAAGCCCATAGCGCATCATCTAAGCGTAAGCTCCAATCTTTCCTACCTGTGTTCACAGTCTTTTCCAAAATGGATTTTACCTCTCTGTTGGACACTTCAGCTTGCCCATTGGTTTGGGGATGGTACGTTGTAGCTGTTCTGTGATGCACTCCATACTTCTTGAACAATGCTTCAATTACTTTATTGCAAAAATGACTCCCTTGATCACTTATAACAGCACGCGGAACTCCAAATCTGTTAAAGATGTTAGATTTCATAAAACCTGCAACTACGGAAGAATCATCAGTTTTGGTGGCTTTTGCTTCCACCCATTTTGACACATAATCAACCGCTAACAGAATATATTGAAAGCCACAAGATGATGGAAAAGGTCCCATAAAATCAATTCCCCACACATCAAATATTTCCACAATCAAAATAGGAATTTGAGGCATTTCATTCCTACGAGATAATGAACCAGTTTTCTGACATTTTTCACAAGTTTTACAGCACAAGTATGCATCTTTAAACAAATTTTCCCAATACAAACCACTATCCAACACTTTTCTCGCAGTTCGTTTAGGACTAAAATGACCACCACATGCATAATTATGACAAAAAGCTAAAACTGACTGCTGTTCATTTTCAGGCACACATCGTCTTATTACTTGGTCAGCACAAAACTTCCACAGATATGGCTCATCCCAAACATAATATTTAGCTTCACTTCTTATTTTTTCTTTCCTAGACTTACTAATGTAACCGGGTAAAACTCCCGTCACTAAGTAATTAACAAGATCAGCATACCAAGGAACCATACCTGACAACTGGAATAATTGCTCATCAGGAAAATTTTCAGAAATAGGAAGTATATCCTCATCTCTTACCAATCTACTTAGATGATCCGCCACTGGATTTTCAGCTCCCTTTCGATCCTTAATTGTCAAATCAAACTCCTGAAGTAATAGAATCCATCTTATCAGCCTGGGCTTAGATTCTTTTTTTCCCAAAAGATACTTCAATGCCGCATGGTCAAAAAAAACTATGACTTTAGAACCAAGCAAATAAGATCTAAATTTATCTAAAGCAAAAATAACAGCTAAAAGTTCTTTTTCAGTTGTGGAGTAACTGCATTGTGCAGCATTCAATGTTCTCGAAGCATAGTATATGACATGGCTTTGCTTCCCAACTCTTTGACCCAAAACAGCTCCAACTGCATAGTTGCTGGCATCGCACATAATCTCAAAGGGGAGTTCCCAGTTTGGAGGTTGAATAACAGGAGCACTTGTCAGCAGTGCCTTAAGCTTGTCAAAAGCTTCTTGACATTCCTTTCCGAACTCAAAAGTAACCTCCTTCTGCAATAGTTTAGATAATGGGACAGCAATCCTTGAGAAATCCTTAATAAACCTGCGATAAAATCCTGCATGTCCAAGAAAAGAACGAACTTCCCTAACATTAGTAGGGTAGGGTAAGTTCACAATCAAATCTACTTTAGCTTTATCAACTTCTATCCCCTTAGCTGAAATTACATGCCCTAACACAATTCCTTGACTAACCATAAAATGACATTTTTCATAATTCAGAACTAAATTCGCATCAATACATCTTTTTAAAACTTTAGACAAATTATTTAAACACACTTCAAAGGAATCACCATAAACAGTAAAGTCATCCATAAACACTTCTATGCAACTCTCAATAAATTCAGAAAAAATACTCATCATGCATCTTTGGAATGTTCCTGGTGCATTACACAAGCCAAACGGCATCCTCCTGAATGCAAATGTTCCAAATGGGCAAGTAAAAGTAGTTTTTTATTGGTCTTCTTGAGCAATGGCTATCTGATAGTAACCTGAAAATCCATCCAAAAAGCAAAAACAAGATTTTCCAGCTAACCTTTCTAACATTTGATCAACAAAAGGTAAAGGAAAATGATCCTTTCTTGTAGCTAAGTTCAGTTTTCTAAAATCTATGCACATTCTCCAACCATTTTGCACTCTCATGGGTACCAGTTCATTCTTCTGATTTCTTACCACAGTTATACCAGTTTTCTTTGGAACTACATGCACTGGACTTACCCATTCACTATCAGAAATCGGGTAAATTATACCTGCATCCAAAAGTTTAAGAACCTCTTTAAATACCACATCCTTCAATGTTGGGTTGAGTCTTCTCTGTGGCTCCCTTACTAGTCTGGCATCTTCTTCTAAATGGATTCTATGCATACAAACAACTGGACTTATACCTTTTATATCAGCTAAAGTCCAACCCATTGCAGTTTTGTGTTCTTTCAACAGTGAAACCAACTTATCTTCTTGTTCCTGTAACAACTTATTTGAGATAATGACGGGTAATGTCTCTCCCTCACCTAAGTATACATACTTGAGGTGATCAGGCAGAGTTTTCAACTCTAAAGTTGGAGCCCGCAACACAGATGGCAACATTTTTTCATGAGTTAAAGAAAAATCAGCATTTGCAGAATTTAAACCAGATATTACAGCTGATAAAACTTCACAAGAAGAATCAACAAACTCATCTAAATCAAATTCAGCTTCTAAATCAAACAAATTTTCAGCAAAACTATCTTCAAAAACATCTTGCACTATTGAATCAATTACATCCACATGATAAAGAGAATGGTAATCATCAGGATACTTCATTGCATCAGAAATATTAAATTCAGCAATTTCTCCATTAAACTCAACAGAAAGAATACCTTTATCAACATCTATCTTTGTTTTAGCAGTTTTCATAAATGGTCTACCTAACAAAATTGGAGTTGATTGATCTATTGCATCATCATTCATTTTCAAAACATAAAAATCAACAGGAAAAACCAGTCCATTAACTTGCACTAAAACATCTTCTACGACTCCAACTGGATGCACACAAGAACGATCAGCTAATTGAACAACTATTCTAGTTCCTTGCAAAGAATTTATATTTAAAGCTTGATAAATGGAAAATGGCATGACATTTATTGATGCACCTAAATCTAACATGGCACGTTTAATCTCTTTATTACCAATTATACAGGGTAGGGTGAACATACCAGGATCCTTGCACTTTTTAGGTAGATCATTACTTATCATGGCTGAAACATTTTTACCCAATATGATGGTCTCCTTACTCTTCAACTTCCTCTTATTGGTACAAAGTTCCTTTAGAAACTTTGCATACTTAGGAATTTGTTTTATGGCTTCTAGTAAGGGGATGTTGATTTCTACCTTTCTAAAGGTTTCCAAAATCTGATTTTCATGTTCTTCTTCTTTTGATTTTGCTAACCTTGAAGGAAAAGGGGGTAGAGATGAATCATATTGACCAAAAGAAGATTCAGAACTTACCTTGGATTTTTCATTAGCCGTAGACTCACTTTCCTCCTTTGATTTTCCTTCTTTTTCCTCTTCCACTGATAATGGAGATTCAGGCTGAAGTTGCTTACCACTCCTCAATGTGATTGCATTTACATTTTCTTTAGGGTTTACCTCCGTTTGTGATGGTAGTTTCCCCGAAGCTTGGGCTTCCAACTTGCTAACAGATGTGGCTAATTGAGAAACTTGATTGCCCAATTGTTGAATACTTGCTCTTGTTTCTCGTTGAAACTGTTGAGTGTTATTAGCAAGTGCTTTAACAATTTCATCTAAAGACATACCTGAATTTGAAGCTTGGGGTTGAGATTGCTGAGGTGTTTGGAATTGTCTAAAATTCTGATTTTGAAACCTTGGTTGCGCTCCTTGATTCCCATAGCTCAAGTTTGGATGATCTCTCCATCCGGGATTATACTGGTTTGAAAAGGGATCATATTTTCGGTTGGGTCGACCAGGAAATCCCCCTATTGCATTCAACTCTTGATTTGGATTTTGCAATGTTGGGCACATGTCTGTGGGATGCCCGACAAATGAACATATTCCACATGCTCCCGTAGATTGCATCTGTCCTACAGCCATTTGACGCACAAGAGTAGTCAAATCTGAAATTTTATTTTTAAGTTGAGAAGTACTTACCTCGTTAACTCTACGAATAGATCCATCCGCACGTGTCCC